GGACATGCGACCGTGGGGGGGGGGGGGGGAAGGGCGGGGCCCTGCGGCAGCAATAGCGAAAGAGAACGGGCGCGACCGAGCAGGCTCGGGCACGTCTTTTCGTTGGCACCACCCGCCCTTGAGCTGACACCCCCTTCTCTGTGATGCCGCCCCACACCTCTCTCTAACTCCCACCCCCCCCCCCCCCGGGCAAGAGGGGGGCAAAAATGTTCCAAGCGAAGGAATCAAAAGGAACTTGGCCCCAGCCAGGATCGAACTGACGACCTTCGCGTTATTAGCACGACGCTCTAACCAACTGAGCTATGGGGCCTTGTACTTACGGTGCTGGCGACCCATGATATCTTGCTCGCAAGGAGGCCGGGCGACATTGTCATAGCCGCTTCCATGAACACCCACCCAGACACCTAGACGCACAGACACACACACACACACACACACACACACGCATGGCTGGCCAAGGGCCAAGACAGGAAGAGGAACAAAATTGCGCTTCAAGTGTTTGATCTATTACGTATACGCGGAGCGCACGCAGCCATCACACCACCATCGACGTGGGGCAAGGGGGGAAATGGACGATGGGCGGGGAGGGGGAGGAGGCGCGGCATGAAGGGAGGGACTGAAAGGAAGGCAGGCGAAAGGAGATGGGCGGGTGAAAGAATGCTGCGTGCAGGGGCCGGGGGAGGGGAAGAATGCACAACACGTCCGGCCCCCCAAAAAGGACATGGCCACGCCGCCGTCAGAGCGGCGGACAAGCCCCCAGGGGAACACAGGGAAGAGACTTACATGCCGCCAAGACTCAGACCGAAGCCGAACTGCGAAGTGTTCTTGACATAGTCAAGCTGACCGGCCAGGTGAATGTTGAAGACGTTGGGGATGACACGCTCCTCGAAGTGGACACCCAGGCGACCGGCAGTGTCGAGCTGCGCGCGGATGGTGTTGGCTTGGAGGTTGACCCGAATGCCGAAGGTGCAGACGGCGGCCTTCTCAGCGACGCTGAGCTCCAGCTCGGAACCAGCCTGGACAAGGGGAGTCACCTGCAAGAGGCAAGAGCCAAAGGGTTGAAGGAATACTCGATGGGTCAGACAGGGAAGGGAGGAGGAGCGGGAAGGGAGGAGGAGCGGGAAGAAAGGAGTGCAAGAGAGGGAGAGAGAGAGAGAGAGAAAGAGAAGGAGCGACAGCGTACCTGCTGGAAGTAAGAAAACTGGGACTTAGCGGCCGAAAGGGTGGCGATACCAACGTGGTTGCCGGCAGCATGACGAGCCACCAGGGTCATGGACGAATCAACACGAGGGCCGGTCATCATGGCAGTACCCTCCATACCGAGAGCCAGGGAAGGAGTCACCTTCTGCAGGTAGTTGTACACAACGATGCCAGTCATATCGAGGGGCTGTGTACCAGAAGGGGCGCGCATGGAGACAGGGAACGAGAGGGCGAGGGGGGGAGGAGGCGGAGACGGAGGCAAAGAGAATGCACGTCAGCTACCAGGGAGCACACGACCTAACAAGGCCAAATGAAAAGAGAGGTGTCCGGGAGCGTGGAGGGTGGGGCGAGGGAACGAGGATAAAAGAGGACTCCCCTCTGTACGCCACTCTGGGGGGGGGGGGGAGGGGGGGAGAGACGAATTGGGCACAGGAGACCGGGCCGGCAGAAGGGCGGCGGGGGTGGGGAGACGCACGTTCGGCTGGTAGACACGGACGGCACCGCTGCTGTCCTTGCCCATGTAGTCCGCCTCAAGGGAGTGGGCTGAGCCATCCTTGCTAGTCTGGAAGGTGGCCTTGGCGGTGATGGCGGGGTTCAGAGAGTAGTGCACGCGGCCATTGAAAGCCTTGGAGCCGGTGTCGAAATCGCCCATGAGGAAGAGGCGCTGGTTGGACGAACGGACACAGGGGATACATGTTAGTGGAACGCTGCGGAGGACGGCCGCACAGGCAGCTGGAGGAAGAAGAGAGGCGAGTCGCACCTCATTGGGGACAAGCATCGAGCCGAGGGAGTACGACTGAGGCGCAGTCTGGGAACCGAGGCGCAGACGATGCATGACCTGGAGGTTCGGGGTCATGCCCTTGGCGATCTCGACCTTGAAGCCGTCGAAGAAGAAGGACGAAGCGAGGACCTCTGTGGTTGGTAGGTGGGTAGGTAGGTAGGGAGGAGGAGGAGGAGAGATAGAGGGGGGAGGGGGAGAACGAGTCGGTAAGAAGGAGAGCGGAGAGTGGGGGAGTCGAGCATCGAGAAGGGGAGAGGGGCGAGGAAAGGGAGAGGAAGAGAGAAAGAGAGAGGAGAAGACGAGCCAGGCAGGGGGGCGGGGAGGGGGAGGGGAAAGAGGCGACATACCGCGAACCTCGCGACCGAGAGTGTCAAAGCTACCCGGGTGCTGGGAGCGCTCCATGACATCCGGCGCCAGCAGAGACTCGGTCTGGGGAGCGGGGGGGGCGGCAGCGGCAACAGCCTCAGGGGCGGCAGCAACAGGGGCGACGGCAGAATCCGACATGACTACAGAGGTCCCCTGCAGCGGGAGGGAGAAAGAGGGGGGGGGGGGGGGAAGGAAGAGACACAGACGAGGAGCCCAAAATGGGGAGGATGGTCAGAGGGGGGAGGCGAAGAAGAGAATATGAGGGTGGGAGAAAGAGCAGAGAGCGGGGATAGCAAGGAGGTAACGCCAAACGACACGGGAAGCGAGGCGCCCGAGGAAGGGGGAGACAGAGAGAGAGAGAGAGAGAGAGAGAGAGAGAGAGAGGGAGGGAGGGAGAGGGTGGGCAGGAGGATTCAGGAAAGAAAAAGGGGAGGGGGGCGAAAGGGGCACTAACAATCTTCAAATGAACGGCGTCGAGAGAGGAGGGAGAGGGGTGCCAGGGGGCCGGGGCCGGCGGGGCGCGAGCACCAGCCTCTTCTCTCCTCAGCAACCGGTCCGAAGGGCGGCGCATGGCTGGAGGCGGGGCGGCGGGGCGGAGTCGAGGACACCCCTCCAACCCAGGGGAAAACACCGAAGGCCAGCGGACCTTTCGGCCGCGGCAGCGAGCACCACTGCCCCGTTCCAGGCACGCACACACACAGGATGTACCACAAGGCAACAGGGTCGGGAGAAGGGCACGGCACGTGCCCCCCCCCCCCCCCCCGCCTCTGCGGCAGCCACGCCTCTGTCTCAGACGCAGGTTACTCTCGGGAGAGGGAGGAGGGACACCATTGGCGGTATCCTGCCTGAGTCAGAAATAAGGGCATTTGAAAAGGCTGGCACATCCCACCTTGTTTGTGGCCATGCCCCCGCCCCCGCCCCCCCTCGCCCCTCTTACTCAGAGAACCGCGCGAGGTCAGGACCAGGGGCCAGCGAGGGCGGGCCAGCCACAGTAACGACCGGGAACAGCGTGCCCGATTTCAGAACCAACCTCGGCCATGGGTTGGTCGCGCAGGCTCCCTGGGGCATTCTGGGAGGGGCATTCTCCCAAGGCCGGCCCTTTAGCTCGAACCCTACTATATGTAGTATGGGAGTGCTGGTGTCGTGCTCCGGAGTCGGGGTATGATGTGCAAGCGATCCGGCTGCAGGTGGTGATCCCGCAGCGCCGGGCCTGGTCACGACGCAGGGTCAGGCGCCGGGCCGGAGCATATCGTTAACTGCCAGCGGGTCAGCTCGATGTCCCTGCAGCCCACAATCCCTTGGCGAGGCCGGACTCGGCTCCGGCGGCCAGACACCGGGGGGGGGGGGGGACGGCATTCCATGGTCCGCCGATCGGTACGTTTAGATCACCACTCGCGCCTGTCCGGCCAATGAGCAGGGGGCATAGCCCACGCTGGATTCGGCCGAGGGGCCGAAATCTTTGCGTGCGCGCGCGTCTAAGCATGCGGCTCCGTCCCTCCTGTGGCCCTCGCCCATGGTGGTCCTGGGCGTGCGCAACCCCCCCCCCCCCGCTCTCAGTGGCCTCGTCCAACAGATGGCCGCCCTTGCGGCTGTGCCCAGGTCCCCTGTCCGGAGGCCGACCAAGGGCCTGTGCGATACGATGTGCTGGCTTTGGGGCCTGACCCATACAAGTGGCAATAAACTGGGCCACTGTGCACTCTGATCGTGGTGCGGGGCAGCTGGGCAGGCCTTGTCGTCGTGTGGGAGCCACCTCACCGCCGCACGTCCGACCTCGAGCAACAGCACCCGCATCTCCGTAGAGGCGTGTCTTATGGAGGGCGCGCGTCCGCCGGGAAAGCAAATGCCTGGATGCTGGCATCCCTAGGGGAGGGGGCGGGAGGGG